CTTGTTTTTTTTTTCTTATACAAAAATATTTATGAAATGGTTCTGGTATGACTGTGGTTTCAGATCATTATCCAAATTGATTTTATATTTATAATAGATTGTCAAATTTTTATTATTTTTTTTCATTATATAAAGTAACCTTGTTGGTCAAGGGCCCTTTAATTAGAATATAAGTATCTTATCTTTATTACATAAATATGTAGGGTCAGAATATCAAATCACATAATAATTTAGTAATCTCTTTTACTTGGTTAAAAAATCAATAGATTATTGTCACAATACTTTTATTGAAAATTACTCATATGTATCTTTAAATTTTGTACCTTCACTTCAATTGCCAATTATTGACATGAATGTTGTTGAAGTTTGAAGTTTTTTTTACTAAAGTATTACAACAGCCTTTGTCTTTGAAGCATTTATGTAATGTCTATCAATTTGAAATAATCAGTCACTGACATTTAATTTAATAATGAATTTAATTATACCAGGATTAAAATTTATGTGCCAACTTTTTAGTAAAATGACGCCAAAATGTTCCAATTTAAGCTATTACAATGCAACATTTCCACAGAATACAAAAGATCTGGATACAAGGGAAAGGGGTTGGGGTGTTCTTGAAACTTCATTTCTTTTGCCATTTTTGCCCAGTATGCTATATTCTGTTATCCCAATCTAGACCCCCAGATATGAACTATCCGAACTACTCGATCAAAGGATGGTTCAGTAAACATGGTTAAATTTTAAATTTTTTTTCTAAATCATTAGTATGTCTGGCAAACTGCCTAAGACAAAGTTTATTAGCTGAGTTTGGCCTAAGCTCAACATGTATATCTTGAAGGCTTTTCTAAACTTTTGACTCATCATCCCAGATTATTAGGTTTATATAGAAAGTGCTTTAATTGCAGCAAATTTGGTATGGTTCACTAAGATTCTCAGCAATTTTTGTAAAACAATTGATGTCTCCATATAACTTCTCCATAGAGTTCAATTTATAATAATATAAAGAAAAATACACAGAATGTGAATATATAGATGAAATTGATATCAGTAACCAATATCCATAGAGAATAACAAGGATTACCAAATAAAAAAAAGTATGTCAGCCAAACCAACCAACAACTTTATGTGATAGTTTTGGTCTAGCTTTAGGTGTATGGTAGCTTGATATCAAGCTGTACATAAAGACATAAAATTGAGAATGGAAATGGGGAATGCGTCAAAGAGACAACAACGAGACCAAAAAGCAGAAAACAGCCCAAGGCCACCAATGGGTCTTCCACACAAGAAAATCCCGCACCCGGAGGCGGGCTTCAGCTGGCCCCTAAACAATAATGTAATACTAGTTCAGCGATAATGGACATAATGTAGGTGTTATTTTAGGTACCTAGTAACATTACATATAACATGTATGATTTACCTATTCCTCATGCCTTTTATAGCTCACTATACAGAATGTTTGTTCATTGTTGAAGGCATTCTTGTGACCAGTAGTTTTAACATGAAATATCATAGGCATAAATAGAGGCAATATCAGCCTAGATTTTATTAGTGATATTGAAAACTATCCAAAATATAATTCCAAAAGATGGTTTTACCTTAATTTTATGGATCAGTGATCATGGCCAAGTTTTATTGTAAGTTTCAACTTTATCCTGTCAGTAGCTGGACTGTATGCTCAGACTCTTTTATCGTGTTTTGCTTTTACAATATATGGTGTAGATGGCCACAAAGATGAAGGTTTGTGCACACATAAAATTGGTCTAATCCCACTGAATTTTGTGCCTGTACCATGTGTTGTATGTTCATCAGTTTTTAGGAGTGGGGTGTAGTAAATGTGTTCTGTTGTACCAATCAATATTTTTGGCAGTTCCTGTATTTTTTAAGTATTATAAAAGTATAATATGAAGAAGATTTGATATTAAAATGTAATTTCATCACACAACATTAAGATATTTACAATCCAATCTATAAGTCACAGTGACCCAATTTTTATTTAAATATATTGTATCTATGCCTACCTGGAAAAACAGAAGTGCAAATGATTAATTTCCACCCAGTTCCTGGTTAAAGGTTGTAATAGAAAGAATCTTTTTTTACTTTAATACAAATACCAGTACATCAAGGCAAAACAATTATTGAAAATACATATATAGTATGGTATGGCCTGAACTTTAAGGGTTAGGTTCAATGTACATTTTTGTAGTATGATGTGAAGCAGTAGAGACATTACAATGGTATCCCATCATACAATACTTCAAGATATAAACTACCAAACTTAACAGATTAAAAAGCACAACCTAATATAAGGCAAATGGTCCTTTTTTGTGGAAAATGTTTCAGTTTGGGGTGGTGACAAGTCAAAAGATATTATTCAAAAAGCAACTTATTAATTTGTAACAAATTAAAATATAGGTCCTTAGGATAGTGTAACCTTTATTTCAATGTTCAGTAAATAGTTTTTGTTGGGTCGGTATCAAATGACTCAAAAACTTGACACCTAGTGATGCTAATCTGGCAGAGGCATTGACATTAACTGTTTGGAAAAACCTTTATATTTCAGAAGGTAGAATAGCTAGATAATCCACAACAGCTGCCTTATGGTTCTAAGTTTCACTCTGGTACTTTGCCCATGACCTTATAATTCAGTAACGGCAGAAAATAAGACTGCAAACACTGAAATGTCTGGCCAGCTTTACAAATTACAACTGATCCATGTGTTAATATAGGTACCTTGTAACATTGACCCTACCCCCTTACATATAACACGTATAGTTGACCTATTCCTCATGCCTTTTATAGCTCACTATACATAATGTATACCATTGGGGGTGCTGCTGGGGTTCTGTTACCCCACCCTTTTCATATAATTTAATCTTAAAAATGTATGCCCTTTTCATATATTGCGTAGGTAAAAATGTACCCTTTCCCCATATTGGTTGGGTTTCGTGTAGTGCGTTGAAATGTGGAATATTTGAGACTAAGATTCCTTATGTAATGTTTACTTACGGCGAGACTTTCGGATGTGAAAAAAATGACAGGGCTTTCCATATCACAAGTAATGGAAACTTTATTGACCTTATCATATATTTCTGATAGTTTTCCCCACCTATTCGCATATTTTCAAGCTCGAAAATGTGACCTATTCCAGCTGCACATCCTATCACCTTGTATATAGGAAGTGCCCCCCCCCCCCCCCCCCAGGGTAACATTCACACTAAACTGCCATATTGTTGTTCTTTTCATGATGAATGGGATATATCTACAATACATTATACTTTCAGCCATTTTGTAATTTTTCTCCACCTATGAGCAGACTCCTTTTGCTTGAACACGATATTTTGATTCTGCTATAAGATTGCTGATGAGATTCATAAATATTTACATGCAAGACAGCTAATTTTTATCATAAATTTATCAAAATGTAGCTTTAAATGATAATTTTTGGTGCATCATAATATTTTTTGCAGCATATTGTTCAGCTTTTATCCCAATTTTCATTTTTAAATTAAATATAATTTAGAAATAATTGAAGAACTTTAAAATTTCTTTTATTGAAGGGACAAGTAATTAATATTAAAACTCCTTCTTTGGACGTCTAAAAGATATTAAGAAAATGACAGCTTTGAGGAAAAGATGGCACTTCCTCTGGACAAACAGCAATCAATGCGACATTTTTTTTACAGAGTAAAAAAATAACTAACTTTAACCCTCTATTGTTAAAAAAAATGCACACAACTAATTGCTTATCTACTATTTTCTCAGAAATCTATTTACAGTCTTTTGAATGTAGACCTCATTATTACTTGTCAAATAACTTTACATATGTTTATCAAATGTATAGATCCATGTTTTTAACATCCCAGTATAAGAGATTTATACTCTTATAACTAGATATGGAAAATAATTATTAAATACAAGAAAACTTAAGACAACCTTATCATGTTCAGTTACCCATATACTTTTTACAACAAATTTTTAAACCAAATACTGTTAACCTTTCAATTTGCATTGTTATATATATTGTATTGTGGAGAAGACTTTATAAGTATGTTTTACTTGTGTCTGATCCTTTTTTGCTTTGAGCAAATAAAATATGTTTAAACTAAAAACCTTTCATGGATAGAGAAACAGACTTGTTGCTGTGTATCATATTTGTTTTTCGTTCGTTCAGGCCATTAGTTTTCTTGTTTGAATTGTTTTACACTTGTCATTTCAGGGCCTTTTATAGCTTACTATGCAGTATAGGTTTTGCGCATAGTTGAATGGTATATCTATAGTTGTTAAATTCTATTTCATTTGGTCTCTAATGAAAATTTGTCTCATTAGCAATCATACTACATCTTCTTATTTTTATATTAATCCTGGAATTTAACCTGACAAATGGAATGAGGTCAAGACTATATGATACAAATCATATGGGCATATACTTGCTAAAAAAAATCAACATGCCAAATATTGTTGACTTATGTTATGAATGAAAGAAGATGTTGGGAATAAGTTAGGGTATTTCCATTAAAATGTATGTGGGAGGGTAGGAAGGGACTTTCAAAATATCCCTACAACCAAGAACCATTTTTTAGATAATTTTGCATAATGGTAATAGACACATACTGAAAAAAGACCCACAACCCATATTCAATAATTAAACTTCCCTTCTTACCCTCCGACATACATTTTAATGGAATAGCCCTTAATGAGACATACAACCAATAACACAGAAAGGTATCATATTGTTTTCAACAACAGACAAGTGTCTATACTTTATGCAGAAACTATCTAAGATCTGCCATCTGACAAAAAATAATCTAGAAAATTAACCTGACTACTGGAGTGTGATATTAAAGTCAAGGTTTAAGTCACATTGATAATATAAGTGTAATTTGAACTCCATAAAAATGTATGCTAACCTACATGAAAGTTGGGATGACATATGAAGGTATTGTTAGAAATGTTAAATCTAGGTCTTTCGTGAAAGGCAAGACAAAAATCAAAAGCTAATAAAAACTTGTCAAATTTCATTACAATCTGTTAACATATAAACTATCATCCACTGATACCATTGTACGTATTTTCACCGAAATAAATAAAATCATTGTTCTATTAAAATCATTGGTTAACCAATAACCAGCATTGTTCCTTCTGGAAACGAATGATCAGGGATGTCAAGGTTCAATGGAGCTGGACCTTTCCTTATCCTTCCAGATAAATCATAATGAGATCCGTGACAGGGACAGAAATAACCATTATAATCTCCAGCCATAGGAACAGGTACACACCCTTTAAAAATAAACAAAAAGTAATTTACATGGTAGTTAATATGATGATGATGATGATGATGATGGGTGTGTTTAATGACCTTGACTGGCTATAAATCCCTCGCATGGTTGGTTATAATAAAATATATAGGAATGATAAAACAATGAAATTGCTTAAAAATTGTGTATACAGTCATGCATTTTATCTGCAAAGTTTAGTACCTTGGACATTACATTATTTCTGTACATTGGCAGTGTTCCCAGTAGTTTTCATTACAAAATATTATTGTCTTTCTTCTAGTGTTGCTTAAAATTTCAGCATAAATTTATTTCTATACATGAAGATTTTATGTAGTTTTAACCTCCCCATTGTTATAATACAGGATAATAAACTAGATTACGATACAAATGCCCCCTTCTGCAGCCTTATCACAAGAAGTCAGTTGTAATTCTACAAAAAGTAGGTCAACAAAATGAAATACAAAAGTCGATCTGTAAGTCATCCTTAATGTACCAAACAAAAGTCCAAGAAAAGTCTAGACAGGTACAATTTTCAAGAAGTTTTCAGAGTTCAAGGGACGTAATTCTGTGAAAGGTTGGTCAACCTGAATAAAATGCAAACTCAATCAGTAAGTCATTGTTTTATAGAATGTAACAAACAAAAAAAACTTCAGATAAACAAGCATTACAAAATAAACTCCAGACAGATACAGTCTTCATGAAATATTTTAAGTTCATGGGTTATAATTGTGCAAAAAGTACATCAACAGTGCAATCTGAATCTGTTAATCATCATTTACACTAATGTATCAGATATCAGATAATATCAGCAGGCAGAACACAAAAAAGGTATGGATAGAACGATGGTAACACTATGCCCCAGACACTCTTTGAAGTAGCATAATAAAACAGAATAATCCTTTTGTGCAAGTATTAAAATGTTCACCTAGAGGGATTTCTCTCAAATTTGGATGACAAATTTTGCTGTTTGTGGATGCTTATCCTTCCAATACATTTATTGTTGACCTATGTAGTTTTCTTTACTTCACTTTCTCTCATTTGCAAATTGGATCTGTGTTCATTTGAAAAATTTGTCCATTTTTGATTATTTTGGTGTGTTTAGTTTCCAGATAAATACATCATCTTTGCTTAAAAGTCTGTATGTAGAATCACTGCAAAATGTTCATAAAGTTGTTTTTCCAGTCTTCAAATTGAAACTTTACAGTTGTGAGATGAGGATCTTTTTCAATTTGTTTGGTTGCTATTTGCTTTTTATCGATTAATTCTGTGACATGACATGTGTGTTGGAATGATAACATTGGTGTACTTGTATGAATACTCGAGTTAGCATATGTACAAAGAGAAACATAAGATTAACATATATTTCTTCTACCTATTAGTTGATAAGTACCAAATATATAATAATATAAGTAATGAGAAATATTACTTTAATTAAATTCTTTGTATGCAAATGAACTAGGTTACGAACAACTATATCAATGTGGTAGAACATATAACTCTATGGTACCACAGTACAAGAGGCTAGTAACAGAAGTGGTGATTTATTTTGAGTGACTTCTTACCTAAATGTGTACAGACTCCTAACATAACAGCCCACTCTGGCTTTTGTGTTCTATCCAAGTCGTGTTGGGGATCTCTCAAGGATGCTAAATCAACACCTGCTTCAGTTTCGATTTCTTCTTCTGTTCTATGCCTAATAAATACTGGTTTGCCTCGCCATTTTACTGTTAAATTCTCTCCCACAGGGACATCAGCGAGATCTACCTCAACCTTGGCTAATGCTAAAATATCAGCTGATACATCTATTACTCCCATTAAATCTTGTACAAATGATTTAGCGACATATGTACCTGCAAGTGCACCACCTGGAAAAAATTCAAAAATCAATACACTGTTAACTAATAATGCATACAATTATTAGTGTCGAGAAAAAGAAAGAAATAGTTGACCATTTATTTAAGATACATTGTAGTCAAATAAATACACAAATCTACTTTTGATGGAAAGGTGGTAGTCTCTTTTCAAAACAATTGAATTACACCTTGGTTTAATATTTTTAGTTGGAGTTCTTTACCCTTTTAGCACATTATTGCTATTTCGCAACAGCAAGTTTTTATTGTCAAAGGAAGCCAGAGTATTCAGAGAGAACCACCACCCTTAGATAGGAAAATTTTCAATCCTTGTCAATTATGATAGTTGAACACACCTGGCCACAGGTGAGATTTGAAACTCACAACCTCAGTGTTGACAGGCTAGTGATCATTAATAGTCATGATCTACATGTACCTAGACCACTGGGTCAATGAGGCCCCTACAACTTGGTTTTAAAGTGTTGCTGGATTGTTGTCTCATTGCAGTTTACTCAATATTACTTTCCTTCATCTATTCTAATGTCTTAGTTACAGAAATAAATGGAAATTTTTTTAATTATACCAATAATCTAAATTTCAAACTTTTCCAATCAAGTTGTACATCTCAAGTTGGTGTATCATCCAGCTGAACCTACTTTTGAGGAAATAACAGACATTGCTTTAGTTTGACTTATTTTTTGCAGTGCCTACAGATTTATAGCTAATCTTTGGTATGTTGTTGTATGCTGTGGATTCATTTATTTTTTAGGGTATCAATTTTTCGTGTTGAGAAATAATTGTATTTTCGTGGATATTTGATTTCGTGTTTTTGCCTAGCTTGCATAAAAGCCTATAGAAAATTTGTACTTTGTTAACATTTAAATTTGTGGTTCATTTCACCACAAAATCCACGAAAATAATTATCCCTTGATTAATAACGATTCCACAGTAATAGGTTACATATCAAGTTTTAGAATTGGTTTTAGTTGTCAATTTGTTTTTTTTTTTAATCATGTAACTTGTTGCTGATTGCAATTACTGAAAATACAAAGAAGGCAAATTATCACTTACATTAATGCTTTAAGAACCTTATAAGTATAATCAGTTTGAAATTTTGAATATTAATTACAGCCAGTAAAAAAACTTGGAAGTCAGAATTTCAATGAATAGCAAATCACCATGTGTTTGCCAGTTAAAACTCTGAGGCCACTAAAAGTTTAGTAATAATGTGTACCGGTATTCTCATTACAAAGAAACCAAAGATTTCTATTTATATCATCCAGAGTATGCATGAAATATCTGGATGGTAAGAAATCAATCAATCAATTAATCAATCTATCTATTTATAATTCCCACATCAACTTAAAAGTAACATTTGCATGACAGTTTAAAAGGCAAATAAGAATATGTGCCCATAGGACAAGATATCCTTCTTCTCACTAACACACTATCACAATTCCATGATCAATTAAACCATAAATCTGTATCACAATCCTAATTTGGGATACATTTTAGGAAGTTCATATCATAATGAACGCTCATTGGCAATCATACCACATCTTCTTATTTTTATGTTTACTAAGTTTCAAGTAGATGTGGTCACTACAACTTAAATCAAAACTTTAACCTAATAAAGAAAGAAGGAAAAAATAATGCCCCCTTCTTTCATAGGCAGGGTATACAAATTTGATCTATGAAATAGTATAAATTGATGTACACATGTATTTTACTTGACATTGTTTCTTCACAAATCCAAAATTAAAGAACAAGAACTAGTGTAAATATAAGATGTATTATATGGGGAAAACACCCAGAGTAAAAAAGTGATTTATAGACGTATTTATACTTTTGGGTATTTAGCGTTTAAATACAGCGATAATTAACGATATCATACGTGACAGGGGGCTACATCAAATTGACTCTGATATTTAGCAACACAATAATTAATCAACCGATTATACACATCTCTCTCTTGTGGTGTATGCTGGAAATTATTTTAAAAATTTTACGATATATTAATAATCGTTTATTTTATATATTCAGAATAAATAGTTTGACCGTTTATACAGAAAATAACATAAATTTAAAATAAAAAAATGTGGTATGATTGCAAACGAGACAACTATCCACCAGCGCCAAATGACAGATGAAAGCAATCATATGTCAGCATACAGCCCTCGACAATGAGAGAATCTATACTGAATAGTAAGCTCTAAAAGGTCACGACACAAAACAATTCATACCAGAAAATAAGTCATCCTGTTGCTGTAAAGAGTTCATAACAGTTGTGTTTATGAGTTTTAAAAGTATAAATCTTGTAATTGCTTTCTTTTGCTTACTGCGCTATGTACATAGCCTGTATGTCAGTTTGATTTTTCATGAAAAAAGAAACTGGCACTACTAAATAATTGAAATTTCCACTACTGGTAGTATGGAAGTATAAATGAAAATTGATAGAATTTTTCCTTATATCCTTTGCCAAAGATGTAGTATATATTGTGATATGTTAAAAATATGAAAAACACAATGATAGTTCACCGAGTTTGTTTCAAGCTACAGGCTGTGAAAACATGAAACATTTTGTATAGATTATACTGAGAAAATCTTTAAGGTATCATTATATGAATATCTAAAGATAAAATGAATGATAGAATTTCAAAATAAAATGTGAGAAGATAGCTCTTATAAAATGCTTTCAGAATAACAACAGAAAAAAATGAGTCACTATGCATTTTATCCTGTTTAGCATACATGGCAATCCCCATACAACATAAAATAGAACACTTTCCTGTTAACTGTAATAGATATTATGTAGTAGACAGGGTCCTGGCTCCATGTTGAAGACCGTACTTTGACCTATAATTGTTAACTTTTTATACATTGTGACTTGGATTGAGAGTTGTCTCATTGGCACTCATACCACATCTTCTTATTTGTATGTACATTTGTTTCAAATATTTCTGCATCAGTGATGTTTTAAACGGTCATGATAATGAAGTGTGATAAAAGGCAGTTTTAAATAAAATGCTCCGCTGGGCGCAGCTTGATACGACCGCAGAGGTCGAACCCTGAACAGTTGGGGCAAGTATGGACACAACATTCAAGCTTGATACAGCACTGAATTTGGATTGTGATTAAATATTTGACACAGCATAGGTTTCTGACACAGAATGAATGTGGTCTAAGAACTTAAAATTTTTTAATTTACCTATTCAAACCATATCATTATTATTTGCTTTTATATATAAATCAGAAATAACCCATTTATAAAATGGAAAATTTTAAAGAAAAAAAAAATCCCTCCCCTAAATTTTTTGAACCCCCTTATGATTCATCACCCCCAAACTCAATCCCAGCCTTCCCTTTGTGGTATGGTACCTTGCAGTACAATTTCAGAGAGATCCATACACTTGAACACAAGTTATTGTCTGGAAACTAGAAAAATGCTTGTTTTTAGGCCCCTTTTTGGCCCCAAATTCCTAAACGTTTAGGGCAATTACCCCCAAACTCAATTCCAGTTTTTCCTTTATGACATGGAACCTTGTAGTACAATTTCAGAAATATCCAAACACTAACACACAAGTTATTGTCATGAAACTAGAAAAATGCTTGTTTTTTGCCCCTTTTTTTGCCCCTAAATAGTAATTCCTAAAATTTTGAGACAATTACCCCTAAATCAATCCCAGCATTCCCTGTGTGATAGGGAACCGTGTGGTACAATTTCAGAGAGATCCATACACTTGAACACAAGTTATTGTCTGGAAACTAGAAAAATACTTATTTTTTACCCCTTTTTGGCCCCTTATTCCTCAATGTTTTGAGCAATTACCCCCAAACTCAATTCCAGATTTCCCTTTGTGATATGGAACCTTGTAGTACAATTTCAGAAAGATCCATACACTTACACACAAGTTATTGTCATGAAACTAGAAAAATGCTTGTTTTTTGCCCCTTTTTTGGTCCCTAATTCCTAATATTTTGAGGCAATTACCCCCAAAATCAATCCCAGCATTCCTTTTGTGATATGGAACCTTTTGGTACAATGTCAGAGAGATCCATACACTAACACACAAGTTATGTCTGGAAGTTACAAAAATGCTTATTTTTGGCCCCTTTTTGGCCCCTAATTCCTTAACTGTTGGTACCATAACCCCCAAAATCAATCCCAACCTTCCTAATGTGGTATTGAACCTTATGGTAAAGTTTCATAGAGATCCATTCACTTAAACTAAAGTTAGAGTGCGAAAACCAATGTGTCTTCCGACGACGCCAACGTCATACCAATAATTTTGCGGTCGTGGTCGTATAAAAACGTATCAGAAATATCGATTTATCTTCAATTTTCAATCATCACACTATAATACAATGCATTCAATTGCATTTGTTTTTTGGTTCCGTGTTGAAGACCGTAATTTGACCTATAATGGTTTACTTTTACAAATTGTGACTTGGATGGAGAGTTGTCTCATTGGCACTCAAACATTTTTGTACCACATCTTCTTATATCTATTCAATGCCATTTTAATTTCTAAGCTATGTTCACAATCGACCTTGTCTATGCAGAGATCAGTGCGAGCGGCCAGAGTAATGTTCTACATATTTTCAACTTTATCAGTTTCCATGCCATTAAAAGTAATTAAATATCTTGTATTTAACACGCTTTGACATAAAATAAGATCAAACTTCCGAATGACCCTCCACTAAATTATTAAAATATTCCCAGTGGCATTAACCGTACTGGCCATGATATCTCAGTGTAGATTAGGTACCAGGGTTAAGATTTTAAACATCTGTATTAGGGGGATGGCCATTTGATTTTGAGGGGGGCGGGGTGATTTTAGAAAACTAATATTCTAGAAGGAGTTAATTAATAATAATTATGACCAAGGCAGGATGGAAAAGAATAATCTGCAACACAAAATGAAGGAAATAAATTGTGTACAAAAGTTGAATAAACTAATCAAATGGTTGCCCTTTTGCAGTAACTGTATGTCTTTTGTGTTGGGATGCCAAAACGTTAATGTTATTTACAAATGTGCCAAAACCTGCAAATCTATTTTAGACAGAAGGAGAGGTTTTTTATATCGATAATGTTTAGACTATAAAGTTTTCGTAATTTGTTTTAGAAATTTTAATAAGTACATAATTTTATAAAGTCCTTTATTGTTTGATGAAATTTTACTTTTTGTCTCTCATAATTCTTTTAAGAATGGCATTAATATCTATTTATGTTTTTATGATATATGTAAATATTGTATTGTGTATATTAATGGTGAGACGTTAATAAACTATCTATCTTTCTATCTATAGAAAAGGGTACATTTTTATCAATTGTCACCTGGTGAGACTGTACAAGGTAAAACAAGGATTCCACATGGCTAAGGTGTTAATTAATTTATGACCTAATGCTATGTATATGAAGTGAGCCCCGCTTATTTATCTAATTTATTCTTCCCGTTAAGTGATTGACCTCAGCGTGAATTCGTGACAATTAAAGGTACAATTAAAGCCAGGCGGCATATCAGATCGTATATTACTGCAACCAACAACACAGCAGTAGTCCGTTTTAAATCTTTTATTGTGTCATTGTTAATAAAGTTGTCTCGCCAATATAATTTTTTATATTTTGATTCAAATGATGCTCATGTTGCTTGGACATGTAAACGCAAACACTTAATCAGATGAATGTTTTTTCCAAATCTGCATGGTCACTGCTTATCAACTGTTAGCCCCCAGTTGATGAACTCTCGGTAATTATCGCGTGATTTCATAGTTTGGCTAATTAGATTAGACATGCGCAGTTAAATGTGAAACAGGTGTATTGTGATGCAATATTTTACAGAAAATTGTGACTTTAAAGGGGCACTAGCTACGAGATATATAAAAAATATACAATACGATTTTTTTTGTTCAATCATTTATAAAGTGAAATAGTGAAATAATATATCGCTTTTAGCAGCCAGTATGGTTCAATTTTGTCAAAATAAGCTAAGAAATTTTGAGGATGAATTATTCACTTGCAAGTGAATAATTCGACCTCATTGAATCCGTATTCATGTGAACTTCATTTTAACCCCTTGGCTAGAGATGGATACCGCATGCATTGTGCGTGTTCAATTATTTAAAGGAAAAGAATGTCAATATTGAAAGTGAAACAAAGGTAAATCATCACAAAAAATCATTCTTATACAGGTCAAAACGCTGATTAACATATATTTTTAATCTATAATATGAAATTAAACAGACCTAGAAAAATCCAAAAGCACGAGTCTGCTATCTATTTATATCTTTATTTATGTTTAAATTGCTTATATGGCAATCGGAGGTCTTCGGGGTCAACTCAACAGTTAATTAGATGGTGTCTAGACTAAAATACAACGAATCGAAGCTACATATTATCGAGCCAATGCCCGTAATATTGTTAATTTTAGACTTTTTATAGTTTGGATTAATGTTTTACAATGTAATAAATCAAATATGAGAATTTGAGTCAAATCGGTGAACATGAATTTGACAGCTAGTGCCCCTTTAAAAAATGGCAAACATATTTGAACACACATGTAAATAGTTCAATATGAACCTGAGCTAAAGGTTGTGTTACTTCACAGTACTCACCTCCAACCATCAAATAGGAAAAGAGTTTCCTTTGTGGTTCTGTTTGTACTTGAGATATGTTTACATCTTTAGAAGGTGATCTTTTATATGACGAGTAGTCTGGAAAATTTATATCTGTATGGGAATATCTTACTTGTTGGGGTCCTGAAAAAATAAAGTACAATCATTTAGTCACACTTTAGAATCCAACATTCTTCCTCTCTTTTGAGCTGTACTTCCAATCCCACAAATAAAATTATATCATTTCACTGCACTTGAAAGCAACTAAAATATATTTATTGACAAATTCACTGCATTGTTTCTTGTATAAAAACTACATTTTGTGTACTCAGCCAGAATATGAACAATTAGTCAATCATGAATATTTTTTGCCAAACATTTAGAAGCCTTTCATATCTATACAGTAGTCAGTATCATAGTTTGGGTTTTCTTCACTGTTGAAGGTTGTATGGTGACCTTAAATCCAAGTCATTTGAACTCTGTTTGGATAGTTGTCTCTGTGATGATCATACCACATCTCCCTATTTTACATTTAACAGTGCTTAAACAAAAATGTTTGGACTTAAAAACAGTGCTTAATGAAAAAAATGTCCATAAAATGTGTTGTTGTAGGCATGAAAATTAAGGATAATAAGTAGGCAGGAAACACTTAAGTTTGTTTTAATCTAATATGAGGCAGGTGTTACCTGTGAAAGAGGACCAAGTCTGTTAGCTAACCATGTAAAAACAGTTTTTTATCACTTAATATTTTTCAAAATTAAATTAATAAAATCATTTCGATTCATATTACTAAGGAAATTATTTTTTTTACTTTGTGCAATGACATTTTAAATCATATACAGAAACCAGAAAAATAAAGTGGAAAAACCATATGTCACTGTCTTCATAATTGAGTCCTGAACACTAAAATAACCAGGTTTAAAGAATTTCTTGCATAATTTTGGCATGTTGAAAAGTAAGCTGCGAATTCGTTGTTATTATGCATTTTATTTGTAACGTCATTATCTATGTAAACAAAGAAACTTGGTCTACACTGTTTGTTTATAATTATTCATTCTACATGAAATCGGAGAAGATAGAAATGTCAGATTTATCTCGGAAACTCATTTTGAATTTGATTCTCATCTTATAAAATTGAATGTTAAATCAGCATCAAAGACTTGTTTTTATGAGAAAAAAAAACGTTAATATTCAACCTCTTTAACAGGAAACACCTGCCTCGTATTTACAGATTGGTAATCAGATATACAAAATTGTGGCATATGCTCCTTTTGATGTAATCAAATAGAAAATTGGTGGAAGAAAAGAAAACCTGGAATGGATTTCAGCGCAAACGCTTAAATCAGAAAATTTAAATTGAGAGACTTTGGGTTCATTAGTAAAGAATTTTCTTTATATTGATTTTCCCTCTGGTACAAGCCAAATCAGCACCTTGTCAAATCGGCACTTAGTCAAATCCGAACCTATTTAAAATCATTTCGGCATTTGATAATTCAATTGGCACCTTATATTATTTTTACTGTTTTCTTTTCTTTTATTTGAGAATAGTTTTTTTTTTTTTTTTTATATAAATATGTTAATGCAAAACTTACAATTTCAGAGGTTCATTTCGTACATTGTTTAAAACTCAGCACATGTTATTAAAGGGGCATTAGCTACGACATATAAAAAAAATTAAATTATGATTTTTTTTTTTGTTCAATCATCAATGAAAGTGATATAGTGAAATACTAATTCACTTTTAGCAGCCAATTTGGTTCATTTTTGTCAAAATAAGCTAAGAAATATCGCTGATGAATTATTCACTTGCAATCCGTATTCACAATGATTCATGTGACCTTCAATTTAACCCCTTAGATGGAGATGGGTTACGCAAGTATTCAGTTATTAAAAGGAACAGAATGTCAACACTGAAAATGAAACAAGGATGAATCATTTGGTTGACTGATTCGATCCACAAAAAAATCTTTCTTACACATGTAAAAATGATGATAAACATACATTTTAACCTACAATATGAAATCAAAGACCTAGAAAAATACAATTGCATGTGGACGCTATCTGTTCATATTTATATTTATGTTTATATCAGGTTATATTATTGTTAATTATATGACTTCTAGACAAAAAACACACGAAACGTTGATACATATTATCGAGTCCATGCATTGTTAATTGTTTATTTTAGACTTTTTGTAATTTGGATATACGTTTTAGTATGTTATAAATCAAATATGAGAATTTGAGTCAAATCGGTGAGGATGAATTTGATAGCTAATGCCCCTTTAAGCAGTAAGAATGCACAATAAACAATAATCAGTTGGCTTTCTGTTTAAAGTTTTATCAATATTCTATTAATATTGTTTTGATTTGTTATCATTTTAAAAACTTATGAACTTACAGACAATAACCTGTTTGTTGTTTTAAGGGCTGAATTATTTTGGTTAGGGGTCTCTATATATAATTCCGGGGGCCAGTAATAAACTGTATCATCGATGATTGCAAGTTTGTTATGCTTGCAAGTTCGGGACATTTGGGGATTTCCAATTTTTTTTCGTGACGTCATGCAAAAGTATTTATCATCTGCAAGGTGCTACTTCAAAAATACTTAACCGGATATTTTTCATTGCATTTTCACTAATATCAGCTTGAAAAAGGGAATTTGAGTATGTTCTTGCATATTACTTGTGTAAACGTCTATTTCCACTATTACTGTTTTATTCCTCTCCTAGAATTTCTTTGAATTCTTGGGAAAATCCTTTCAGCAATGTTATTGACATCTCAACAATGAGTCATCATCTATTTTTAGGTTATGTGGCATTCTTTTTCCCTTTTTTGAAGGGCAAGAGTATTATTTTTTGAAGTCTGTATATGAGTGTATTTTTTATGATCAGAAAATGATTTGATATATTTTGATAAAACAAAACCTGCTGAATATTGGCTCGTAAAAGTAATTTATGAATCCAATGCCATTGAATGCAAATTGAATGAAAAAATACTTTGATGCATTAATGACATCGTTATAGTTATCTTAAAGTGTTTAAAGTGTTTAATGCTGGATTTTGCAATTGACCATTGAAAGTCACGTGTAAAAATTGGAATAATTTTTGAATAGAGAATAAAAAAGTTAGTATATCCCATTTCTCTTTTTTTTCGAGATACTCATTTGTTATTTGATCTCAAATTTATTCCGTAATATTCATATACATAATACAATAGGCCTGACCTATATAGTTGCACATGTGCAAAAACCACCGACCAAGACAAATGTCACGAACTTACAAGCATGTCTACTTATTTTACGGAATCGGGTCACAATACGAAACATAGACAGATTGACCATGTTTCTGAAGCTATTCATCAATTAAGTGTATCAGACAGTTTGCAAATAAGTAAAGAATATTTCCATTCATAGTGGATAATATTTGCTCCCAGGTTGTGATTAATTTCTTCTGTTTCGAGTTAGGGTAAATTATGAACTTCCAATCATTGAGGACAAACCTTGCATAATCAGCGTGTAGATGAAATGTTTTGGGAGTGCATCAATTTCTATAACTAAACAATTAATTGGATATAATGAGACACAAATATCAGTTTGTTTTGTGTAACGATCAAATTACATACTACACCAGTTATTTGAAATGCTGACTGCTGATTTCGGTGCCAACTTATGTAACGAATATGTAGATTTCTTATCGTGCTGGGACGGTTTTAATGACACGACTTCTGGTGCTAGTGAAGCTGAAGGTAGTATCGGTCTGGTAATTTTCCCTATCAGTTGTGAAACTGCTGGAAGAGCACCGGACTTAGGTAGGGAATACATATCCCGAAATTTGTCCAAAATTCAAGGTGACCGGAAGAGAATATTATGTCGGTAGTTGCTCTAGTACCTGTCTGAAAAATACCAATTAATAATCTACTCTGAAGTCTTAAATTGAAAATTTGAATTTGCATTAAGGTCTAAGTATAAATTTATCAAGATAATATTTGAACATGGTAAATAAAATTCAAATGTATTTTACGACATAAGCATTTGGGTAGAGTCATTTTGAAAATTGGTTTGACTGAGGATTAAATAAAAAAAATAGTCACGGAACACCCTTTTCCGGGGGTGGACAACAACCACATACATGTATATACAAAACCCAACAGCACTAATAAAACACACATAAAAGTCATTATTCCTACATGTATAATATGAAATAGGTGCAACCTACCGGACCACAGAGACATATATATATTATATATAGACATATTATAATATTATTAAAATATACTTTTTCACTTGTTTGGTCTTTTGGAAAATGTTGTTTGTGCTGTATTTAGATCCCTCTACCAAGAAATTTGTATTGCGTATAAAAATATCGGTTTTTATCCAACACAATCATAGGTTTGAACGTTGTTTTCAATTCAGACTTGTTGACATATTATTATATAATATATAGTATTTCAAATAAGTTTAAGGGCATACCAATTACAAACAAGAGAAGAAGAAAAGACAAACATACCGTTAGGTGTTCCAATTTGGTAAACCTCTGATGAAACGGTATTATTTTTACAAAAAAAAAATGATTTCGGTTCTTATTACTAAAAATATCAATTACTTTTACTTTGTGCAATGACATTAAGTGAAAAAAAAGTAAAATATAAAATATACCGAACTCCAAGGCCTGAAAATTCAAAAACGGACGTGGCAGTATGTTTTAATTACAAGTATGTTCAAATTTTATATGCTTTGTTTGTTTGGTCAGTTCTAATCACGGGCATCCCGGATGATTATGCAATATTTTAGTATAAGAAATAAACAAAAAAACATTGAAAATTTGAACATGCAAATTAATTGTTTAAATCAAAGCAAAGATGGTGGCGAACTTGACTTCTGTTGTATTTATGACTGTTCGGTAAGAATACCTCACTGTTGTGTACGTAAATACGTTTATAGAAAAGGCAAATTCCATGTTTTGCAATGTGAGCCTCTCTCCCTAGCTCTAAACAAAATGAACCAAATTGAACCAAACACAGACTCCGGGTAAGACTAATTATGTGTTACACATAACCGTTGAAACAATCAATATTTGTGATAGACATAACATAAATTCTAATACAAAATGCAAGCACAGCCGACCTTCTGTACAAAAATCAAACATATGTGTAATAGAATTGAGAATAGCAACGAGGAATGTGTCAAAGAGACAACTCGACAAAAGAACAGAAAACAGTCCAAGGCTACCAATGGGTCTTCGACGCAGTTAGAAAATCCAGCACCCGGTGGCGGGCTTCATCTGGCCCACAACAATAATGTATACTATTTCAGCGAAATTGACGCCACACTTAACTCCGAAACATGCAAATGAACCAAAATTTTAAAAACAAACAAGACTACTTAACTGTTTGGTAATTTGGTTTTCATGGTCTAACTTTTGTCTTAAATCTGTTAGTATTCATACTTTGATGAGTTGAGCCTTTTTTCAATTAATGTTTTATAGTGTGTCCTTTTATGTCGTATTGTTACACCACTGTCTCAGGTTAGGGTGGAGGTTGGCGCCAGATAAAACGTTCAAACCCGCTGCATTTGTTTGCACTTGTCCTAAGTCAGGAACCTGATGTTCAGTGGTTGTCGTTTGTTGATGTGGTTCATAATTGTTTCTCGTTTCTCGTTTTTTTTTATAGATTAGACCGCTGGTTTTCTTGTTTGAATGGTTTTACACTTGTCAATTTGGAGGCCCTTTATAGCTTGCTATTCGGTGTGAGCCAAGGCTCCGTGTTGAAGACCGTACTTTGACCTATAATGGTTTAAATTTACAAATTGTGACTTGGATTGAGAGTTGTCTTATTGGCACTCATACCACATCTTCTTATATCTAAGACAAACTAAATAAAAGCTACTGAGAAGTTCCTGACTTTGGACAGGCGCATAAATGCAGTGGGTTAAACATGTTTTATGATATCTTAACCCTCCCCTTTACTTCTAGCTAATGCGGAATAAACAAACACACAGCAATACGCACAGTAAAACTCGGTTTAAAGGAAGTAAGTGTCCGATGACGTTAGAATAGTTAAAATTTGTTTCTTAGGTATAGATAATGTTCATCTCCCGTCGAAATGCAAACATCTCCGGTGGTTTTCATGTTTAGTTTTAAATTTCATGTGTAGTTTTCAATTCTCTTATGTTATTTCTAAATTCCTTCTTCATGTTCTAATTTCTGAATTGCTAATATCAAGGTATTGTACATTTAAGTATACAATTTATTGTTGATAGTTAAAATTTTACACAAACTACTGGCATGTAAACTATTCTAGCATTCCATCATATACAAGTTTAATAATAACTTATTTGTTTGTTGCTTGGTTGTCCAAATTGTGCTTCATAATATAAAAAAGAAGATGTGGTATGATTGCCAATGAGACAAATCTCCACAAGAGACCAAATGACACAGAAATTAACAGCTATAGGTCACCGTACGGCCTTCAACAATGAGCAAAGCCCATACCGCAAAGTCAGCTATAAAAGACCCCGAAATTACAAATGTAAAACAATTTAAACAAGAAAACAAATGGCCTAATTAATGTACAAAAAAATCAACGAAAAACAAGTAAGTAACACAGCAACAAACGACAACCAATGAATTACAGGCTTCTGACTTGGGACAGGCACATACATACAGAATGTGGCGGAGTTAGACATGTTAGCGGGATCCCAACCCTCCCCCTAACCTGGGACAGTGGTGTAACAGTACAACATAAGAACGAACTATAAAAATCAGTTGAAAAAGGCTGAACGCATCAGATGGATACAAATAGAAATACATATAACAAAAATACAGAGTGTACGTGAACGGGTACTTGTACATCCCAACAATAAAAAGACATTAAGTACAGATCTGAGAGTACTCGCAGTTACTGACAGCTAGTTCAAAGCCAATAACAACTAATAAAAAAAATCATGCATCTAAGACTGAATTATCAATCAGTACACATCCAACATCCAATGGATTTAGTGTAAAGACGTCATAAACAGTCTGAGAAAAAACATGACCTTGTGCAATGCATGCCAAGATACAGGAGTCGACAGATTGTAGATCCATGAAAGTGCATATTATGTATATAACAATAATATTTAGTTTGCTTTTTATTTACTGATAACAAAATCAATATTAATACCAATAAAAACAATATTCAAAGGTCCAATGACAGTGTTGAATTGGTAACCTTTTAGAATAAGTTTATTTAAAGGATCGATTAGTTTACCAGGATCATTTCTAAATTTCCAGGCACGGTAAACAACATCTCCGAAAAAATTAGGATGTGCTATCCCGTTTGAAATAAGTTTTCTATACATGTACAACCGAACTTCAAAACCAAATCTTTATATTTATGGAAGAATTTAGTAAAAGTTTTAAGTAATTTGTGGTAACGAAATCCCTGACTTAATAATTTACCAGTAATACATAGATTACGTTCGTTAAAATCTAAAACGTTACAACAGACACGGGCATAGCGAACGAGTTGTGAAATTTAAACACCGTAAGATGGTGCCAAAGGAACATCGCCATCCAAAAAAGGAAAATTAACAATAGGGTACGAAAAATCGTCCCTTTTGTCGTAAATTTTAGTGTGGAGTTTCCCGTGTAAAACTGAAACATCTAAATCTAGGAAAGGACAGTTATTAGCGTCTACATTTGATTTATTTAAAGTAAGTTCCTTAGGGTAAATTTCGGCAGTATATTTAGAAAATTCTTGATTATTTAACGAAAAAATATCATCACGATAACGGTAAGTGTTGTTGAATTTATCAATTAATTGCAATTAAGACGGGTCTTTACTGAGTTTGGTCATAAACTGTGATTCATAACAGTACAAAAACAAGTCTGCTATTAAAGGGGCGCAATTAGTGCCCATAGGAATACCTACAATCTGTCGATAAACTTTGTTGCCGAAACGAACATAAATATTAGCAAGGAGAAAATTAACAGCTTCAATCATCTCATCACACCTCCAGTAAGTATATCTAGCATATTTCCCTTTCTCATTAGAGAAGAAGGCTTTAAATGAGTTGCAGCAAATATATTTGCATTCAGATTTACCAAACGACCATTTAATTAAATAGGAAAACTTTTGTTTGGTAAGATTGTGTGGAAGTGTAGTGTAAAGAGTTGAAAAGTAAAAACTGTCAACAGAACCAAAAGAACCATCAAAAGCACGTAATTTATCTAAAACATCCAAAGAATTTTTTACACTCCAAAAATAGTTAATTCCACTATTTTCATATATTTTATTACAAAAGTTTATGATAAGTTCTTTGATAGTAGTTAAGGAACTAGTTAAAAGCACTGGAAGATTAGTTGTAGAACACTTACTAGAGGCCGAGATGAAATGATATTTTACTGTTTTTTTTTTGTGTAGTTTAGGTAACCAATACATAGTAGGGACCTACAAATGTTCAGAAGAGGCCTTAAGCTGTGATGTAGTTATGATATGTTTGTTTACTATATGACTCTCTGTGAAGCGCACGCACTTGAATGTAGATGAATTTAAAATTTCATTCTTAAGAACGTTCGTGTAGTATTTACGGCATACCACAACCACATTGTTGGGTGCTTTGTCGGCCGGTACAAACACAAACCGCTTTGAAAGTTCTTGAAGTTTATTTCTTATTCTGGAAATAGGCGTATTGTGTACTCTTTTTTTTATTTCTGAATTATTTTCAAAATGTGATATTCGAATATCCACAACATTCATACATTTATCAGGGGCGGATCCAGGATTTTGGAAAGGGGGGGCGAAGTATGTAAAGATCGCCGAGCGGATCGAGGCGAGAAATTTTTTGGACCTTTCTTTGACTAAAAAACATAAAATAAGTGTAAAATGCACTTTTTTAACGGTTCCTGACGTGGGGCATGTATATTTTATAGTTAAAGTGTAAGGGTTGGACATTTTTGATGCCGTATTCTCCCCATTAATTGTCTATTATAAAATGATTGGATGGATCCAAAGCTATGTACTAATATATTTGATGTGGGACTTGTCAGTAAAAAATTGACATGGAAAATTCTCGTTTGTTGTATGTTTAGTTAGCATAACCTAACGGATTTCTTGTTGTAAACAAGATATACGCCGGGCTATTCAATGAAATTTACAATTCGACCGACACGAGTTAAGAAAGACAAACAAGCAATTTTTATCCAAACGTTTGGTTGAAATGTTTCACCCAACAAGGGAAGTGAGGGGTTCCAAATCAACCAAAGGCTACGAATGAGTCTGAAATGACAACGAATTTATGAATTACGGTCGACAAATGGAGACATAAAGGCCACACCCCGCAGTCAGGTTGCAGTCGGGCCTTGAAAAAAGTATTCATTTTATCAGTTCGACGAAACAGACATTCCGGTCAGATATGGGATTTACATGCAAACCCCCGGCCCCAAATAAATAACGCCCGTTTTTTTTATTCATCATGTTCATTTAATGCTAAATAATTCTGTTGGAAATTTTTGTTTCTAATAGCAAAATAGTGGACAAGATCATTGTTTTCAATCCAGATACGGCCAGAATTTTTGTTTAAGGCAAAATCAGGGTAAGAATTTTTTCTCTCAAATACTTAGACTGCCCCCTCAAATCAAATGGTCCGTACCTTAGACTTTAAATCTATCTAGAGCTTATTGACTGGGGATCATTATTCAGCTATGTTATTAATAGGCTGGGGCGTGTGGGGTTAAACATGTTTTCGTAGGTAAATAATATTGCTGTGGAACTTTTTTTTCATGAGAGTGTAATAGAGTATTACTTTCTGTTTGGGGGAGTTGTGAAATAGAAGTCAATAAATACGTTCTTGCTCAATCCTTTGTCGCTTTGAAGATGTCATGCTTGTCATCCTCAGCCTAAGCAATGTGTTACTGTAATTTGAATTTCAAAATGACTGAGTGACGTTTTTTCGACGCACTGGTCAACTCCACCGTAGCGAATCACATGATTTTGACATAATCAATAATATAGTACAGTAAATACTAGCGAAACATATCTTTATAAGTAAAGAATTGTCGCATAAAAAATAAATACGCGGGAAATGGCAAAGTTCACGAAGTCTAGTCTGATTAATCATTTTACAAAAAAAAAAAAAAAAAGTGCAAGCAAAAGGGGGGGGGGCGTACGCCCTCTACGCCCCCCTCTGGATCCGCCACTGTTTATTTAAATAAGAATCAAGAGATTTTTTATCAGATTTTTCCCGTTTACACCAATTTTTACAAAATGAGGAAAGAGCGTCTTTTGTGACCTGACGACACTGTTTCCAATCTATTTTAGATGGAGGACGATATTTTGGTCCTTTTTTCAAAAAGTTTTTAACCTCTCTGTCTTGGACGATATTGAAGTCCCCTGTAATAATATGGCCATAGGGATCATATCTAAACTTCTACGATTCACAGTTTCAAGTTAAAGGAGTATTATTTTCTACATTGACGTCTGATGTTACTGATGTGTAATTAAAAATTAACTTCTGCTGTTTTTTTTTTATGTGTACGAAATAATAGGTGGTTAATTCTGTATTATCAAAATAGGGAGGTTTACAGTTTTGAATGGTAGAGTCATTAAATATACTCGATAAGTTGATAAAATCAATACCTCTGTTAATATATTTAATTTTCAGAAAGTGCCGTTTATGATCTTCAGGTTTATCGATACGCGGGAACATCCTATGGTGGCAAAAAGCTGTAGTTATACGCGAATATTCATACAGTGGACTGAAGAAGGATTTTGTGTCACACTGCTTGAAAATATCATGTAATTTACTAATTGGTATTTGACCCAGTTTACATAATAATTGATGCCTACCATTGTTTTTGAATATAGATATGAGATTATCAAGTGTATAACTTATACGATGTTTAATTCGTTGATTTCGATTGATACGTTTGCCATGAGACCTATTATTACGTTGTGCTTTATCAACAATATATCATGATATCAATAGAAGAAGTTTTAGATATGTTCCCTTGTCCAAGTATATTACTATTATTAGACGGTTCGATAATTTTACGTGAATCTTCAAATTGTTCATGTGATTGCCCTTTGTGTTTCTTGATCGTTTCGAGTGGTTGGAATCTGATGAATTTAATATTGTGGTTGTGTTTACATAAATGTTGGTGAATAATGCTTTTGAAATTTTTAGGTTTTCGGAAGCGGTATAAGTTCACCAAAAGTGTTCCGGGTTGTCTTGAAACTGATAAGATGCATCAGCTAAATTAATGTGGTCCGAAAACTGGTTTCACCATCCTTTCATATTGGCCCGAGTATTTCTTATTAAAAATTGGTCCGAATGATCTTGATCCGACTTGTAATTGGTCCGAATTGTCCTATAATCCGTCCGAAAAGTCCGCGGCTGAATCGTTATTTGCCAAGTACCTGGCCCATTTGCAAAGGACGACGGGAAATCGGGAAATTTAAACATGGAGGTTTGTATTTCAAATTTTCAAATAGCTGATACTTGAAGTTTATATCTTTGACTGTGTTTTACTATTGCAGAACCATAAGCATGTTCATCATGATAAATACCAATTAAAGAGACTAAAGATTATGTTGCATATGATATATCCAAAGTAATTGGATCACTTTCACTTCGGCGTCCCCACGCACCTGACAAGGTTGTAAACAAATCTGACAAATTATTTCTTCGCTAATTTTCTTCAGAAATTATGGCTTCCTGATATTTATTTTAAAACAGCTAAACCAGCTATAACAACGCTTAAGTGATGGGCGTGTGGGGCATTGCCGCAAGTGTATCATTCAATTGTTCAAGATAGTCCAAATAATAACATGACGTCTTGAACAGGTTGTGGACAATCAACCAAATTTGTCATAAATTATAAGCCATTTGGGGTATTATACCCAAAAGGAGATATACATTTTCAGTTCAAAATATCTTATATTTTAATTTTGTGAAAATATTGAAAAGTGCTTTTATTGAGGTCAATTGTAGCAACTTTAGGTTTATGGTCAGATCATATGTTTTCTTACCTCATATGAATTCGTACTATGCATGCTTTTTCAATGGAAATTGTGACGTCACAATGCATTCTTAATATAGCACGAAAACCCATGAGACAAGGATATAGCTACTTTTTCAGAAGAAGATTGATCCCGGGTATACAACAATTTTGCAAGAACTCCCCAAAACTCAATATGAAATAGAGAACCGATAGATATTAACTGGAAACTCTATTTTATATGGTGTAATACTGTTTTTTTTTTTATAACTATAAAGTTCTACAGATTTGAGATATTTGCAATTTTTACTTTAAAAAAAGTACAAATTAACTTCAGGAATTCAACTTTTTTGTATGTCTTGTATGTAAATTCCGGGTGTAACAATATGGCAGACCTACAGTAGCATACCAAAAGTATTATATTAAAGTGAGCTGAGATATATATTCATATTATACAGGGTTTGACACTAACTAAATGTATGTACTAGCCTGAAGGGCTAGTGAAATTATTATTCTACTAGTCCTCTTGTCAATTCACTAGCCCTCCAAGTGCCAAAGGCACTTGGACGGTCGTGCCACCAGCACGACCCTATCTAGGAGGGTCTGGGGGCATGCCCCCCAGAAAATTTTGATACGAATGAAGCTAAATCCTGTGTTCTGGAGCATTTCCAGAGGGTTTTGAACATGTTTTGTTTCATGAAATTTCACTGGTTTGCTAATAAAAAATACCAAAAAAAAAAAAAATATTTTTATATTTTAATCGTCCTTATTAAGAATGTATTCGACTTATTTTGAAGACCCCTCTAGATCATTACTTCATCATCATCCTCATTTTACTTATCATTATTACTAGTGTCTTTAATGAAAATGGAAAAGTAATGGATTTAAAAATACACCCTTGCTTTTTTTTATCATAATTCTTCATGGACTCCTTCTTTTCCCTTGTTGTTTGTCAGTTTTGTTTTTTTTGCAGCACAAGATTTTATTCCTAAAAATCTGTATATTTTTACCAGAGACCAAGGATTTGTATGGTATACAAATCCTAGCAAAGACCTATAATTTTGTATACAATAATTCAGTGATATTGTTTGCCTCAAAATGCATTCAAAACACAGCTTTTTCCCATAGAGAAAATTTCCAATTACTGAAAAAATGGCTTAAAAATTCCTCCCAATAAGTTGTACATTTCCCCCCTAACAGTGATGGTATCGGTAGTAATCACTAATGTATGTAAATTTCGTATTCATGTTATTTTGATATTATGAAAGCACTTTTGAGATCAAGGTTTCTGATTAGAATCATCACGGCGTTTGTACCACACGTGGTTTTCAATGTATTAAGTAACATCATTGTTTCCGTTTCCTTCCCCTCCCCCAAAAGTACCTTTCATGTTAAAAATGTCTGACAATCAAAATATACATGAATAAACTGTACAATAAAGACAGCAAAGGTCAGCAAAAAATCTGGGATCTGTTGACAATTAAAATTTTGTGAAATTCCTAGTTTTAAACAAAATTTTGACTAGCCCGTCGGACTACTGTGATGAAAACTTTACTAGCCCTCCCTAATTTTTACTAGCCTCGGGCTAGCGGACTAGCGTTAGTGTCGAACCCTGTAATATACATATTTATGTCTTGTAAGTTGTATAGAACTTGTAAGATTTTTTTTTTTCCGAGTGACCGACCCCGCTTTTTCATGTAACAAATCTGTAAACTGGCAACAAATTAAAATACAATGGCCTTATTTCACAAAATTATTTCCAGTAGTTTGTGGAACATCATACTCATTTGTTTGTGGAACATAATACTCATTTTAATCCTATCTTGGGCAATACAAACTGAACTCCATAAAATTTGCAGACCCAGATTTCCTAATATAAACCGAACTGGCTGGAAATTTGTGTCCACCTTGATAACTCTTCCTGTTTGTACCAGCAGAAGGTGTTAGTTCACTTGACTTATTAGTCCCCTACCGATGCAGTCGAGGAGGACTTTAGGATTGCACTCCGTCAGTCCAGGAAATCAGTTTTCCACAATTTCTTTCTTCTTGCTTGAAGATATTATAGTTTTATCATGACAAATTAAGATCAACTTCGAATTTTGTTCTGGTCTTATGATTTTGTCCAGAGTTATGGTCCTTGGACTTTAAAAATTCACTCAAATAATTATCTGCACTTTTAAAAGTTTTTTTCATCATGCTTGAAGATATTGACTTAATATTTGTTAAATAGTTTACACCATGACAAGGTATAATTCCAGTTAGCATTTTGTTTCAGTTCAATGAATTTTTAACTGGTAGTGACTATGTCTTGCCATGCAATACTCTCAGAATGATTTCATTTTAATTAAAGTAATTGTTAAAGATCTTTTGAAAATAGCAGGTTTCTAGAGATCAAGGAATTATTTGAATTCTGGAAAATTACTTGGAAATTTTTGATGAAAAAATAGGGTTGGTACCCATGGCTAATATTAATTTTACTTTCACTAATATTTCAGTATTAACTAACGAACCCCCCTTAGCCATGCATGCATGGCTAACCCTCCTTAAATAGATTAGTTTTCATCATACATTTCTTATCAATTTTCCAGAATTCAAAATTATTTCAGATTCAAATAATTCCTTGTTAGAGGTATAATTTTAGAAAATTAATCCTAAAAAAGTCAACATATTAAAGTTGCTTTATATGGTATTGTACATGTATTACAGACCAGGGGTCAATTACATGCCAAAATAATACATTACATTTCAATTACATTTTGATTTTTTTCAATTAAATTACAATAACATTAATTTTTACATGTAGATAATTTTTATGAAATTAAGGTTTTTTGCACTCTAAATTTTTATCCAATTTACAATTTGTTTATCATGTTTATATATAAATTATATGTACATGTATTATCAAATGATATTGTACATGTAACATTTACATTTTTAGGCAGAACAAATTCTTCAAGAGAGAAGTAGAGGTAGAGGTAAAAAGGAATATTTAGTAAGATGGGAGGGAAAAGGACCAGCAAATGATTCATGGGAAGCAGCTTCAAGTGTACCACAAAAACTTGTCAAAAGATTTACAGTAAGTTAAAAATAGCTAGAAAATTTTTCATGGTTGACTTGACAGTGAATCCAGCATTGTGCAGTTATCATGTTTATAGTTTTAACTCCTCTTCCCTGTCTCCATATATTTCAAACATATTTCTTCTCTTGATTGTTGATGACCTTTGCTGATCCAGAAATCATTTTCAAGAAAAAATGATGCTGTAGTTAAAGCTCTCGTTTGTCTGTATTGGTTGTTTTAGTGATTCATCTGGCATGTGCAGAAGCACATTTATATTTAACATTATTTCATATACAATTTTCTATCTGAAGGAATTCATGTACATGTATGTTTTTTTTTGGTGCAGTTTTATTTAAATTTATTTATACTATCAAACTTTTTTAGCAGAATATTCTGCTTAACACATCATTGTTATGAACATAATGAAGGACACTTTTAAAATTTCCTGTTATTTACTAAGCTGATAAAATTATTACATGTATATAAAAGGCTCATATTTTTTTTTACTTATATAAATACGAAATGTAAACAGTCAGGGGTGCTACTTAAACAAGTGATTTCATCCTCACTTATTTCAGTGATTTGATAAATTCAGTTATCACCTATTTAAGTGATTTTAGTGTTTTCTTTGATCTTCAAATGCTAATTTCATTGATTTTCCATATTTTCACAATCTTTTCTATAATTTTCCTACATAAATCAATTATCCCTTTTTCTTTGTATATTAATTTCACCAGTGCGCTTGGGCAGTAAGTTAGTGCGCTAAAGCTTTTAAAATTACCCTTGGGAATTTTTCTGTAATCAAAAATTCATTAACTACTCTTACTATCAGACAAAGATCAACAATATTAGGTAACCGGATTGGTTTTCTTTAGAGTTAGAATGATCTACTTCAAGGTTATGACCTGATCTACAAACTATTCCAGTTTTTCCATATTTTAAAAAAACCTGTAAAAGTGTCAGTCTTATCAAGCAAAAGACAATTTCTGCATATACATAGTTGTTTTTTCAATGAAATTGTTGTCTTTTTACCAATCAAAACATCAAGCTTGTGGGAAAAATATCAAGAAAATGTTATAAACACTTATTAAAGTGATTACATTTTAACTTCTAAAATTACTTGTTTCAGTGATTTTAAAAAGTCTGTGTGAAAATTTTTAATATTTCACAGCCAAAATCACTCGAGGGAGTGATTCTGAAATTACTTGTTTAAGTAGTACCCCTGACTGGTAAAGTGGTTCAACTGTATCTGTTATAACTCATTTATGATCTTTATAAGTTGGAATAAGTTTAAACAGTCGTCTGCGTATAGTAACTAATAAATGTAAATATTATAGGCTCATATCTAATTTATTACCTTTCAGTCACCTGGAAAGAAAACACCTGCCAAAAGGTCAAGAACTCGTTCAACATCCAGAGGCAGAGGAGGTCGCTCTAGATCAAGAACACGTAAAGCCAGTAAATCACCCTCTAGGAGAAAATCTGCCCCTACTGGGGCTCCAACTAGACAGTCTAGAAGATCTATTGTAGAAACTAAAACTCCGGAATCTGAAGTTAGAACAGAAACTATAACATCAAAGGTATTTTATGTCAAAGGAAATTGAAAAATGCTCCCATTCTTATATTAATTGTCTCAGCTTGGAGAAAACAACAAGGGCACATACAAAATTATATCTACATGTAGTGAAAGTTCTGATAATACCAATTGACAAATTCATTTTATTTTCATCCAGTTATAAAACAAAATGTGATATTATGATAGCTCTGTTTCTCTTTATGATAAAGTGATTATAGAGATTTTAATTTTAAAAGTAAGAAAAAAACAATAAAAAGTCTTACATGATGCTGTTTTCATGCTATCTGTCTCCATAATGCATCTGTATCATATTGCATGGTAATTACTAATATACATTAATGTGGAAATACTATAAATCATATAAAGCTGAATATTCAAAATTTAGAAGTAAAGCTGATCTTTTTTATCAAGTCAGTTATAGTCCGTTTGACTTCTATAAATCTTCAGAAAATAATTCTTAAAAATTCATTTTTACAAATAAACTTTTTTTTCTTGATGTATGTTAATGTATGATATATACAAACTCTGACTATGAATATCATAATTTTGGGCCAATAATAAAAAAATTTACCCATAAGTCTCTATGTTACTTCTATTTTTTTTTATATAAAATACTTGATGGAGTAAGTATGAATAGTGTAACAGCCTTCCATTCAAAACAAAAGACATAGCACAAATATTGTTCAATCTCATTTTGCAGACAGACATTTCTCAGAATAATATTGGTACAGTGACAAGGACTGTTACAGAAGAGAAATTTGTTACTGTGAAAAAATCACCCATCAATAGATTATCAGACTCTGCCCCAGCATGGAGGCCACAACTACCAGACGTTGGCCGATATTACAACTCAGATTATGCCATGATTATAGTTTTTACCTGTGTCACTATAATTACACTAAGTTTTGTGTTGGAAAATAAAGTAGAGTAAGTTATTCTTTTACAATTACACAGACTAATTACATGGTTTTAACATTCATTCAAGTATGTCTCAAGATCCCTTAATTTGTTGTAACCCATCTTTCTGAAATTTGAAAAAAACTATCTGTAGAAAAAGCTTTCTTTTATTTATGATCCCTTTCAGATCTCATCAAATATGAAAATAAGAAGATGTGGTATGATTATCAATGTGACAACTGCCTGTATAATATATGTGATGCTGTTTTGTTACTAGCAAATTGAACCATGTTAACTGTATCACCATTTCCAACTCTTGCAATCAATAAGTTGTCTATTTATGAAATACAAAACATTAACACTGTTCACACAAACGTACATATTAACTTGTTTTGTTGCTCTTCATCCTGAAGCAGGTTGTTGATTAAGTAATATCATTTCATTTCAGCTTTGCAGCAATATGGGAATACTTAAAGAACCTTTTCAACAGTCTAGTGGTCATGATGACTAGTTTGTTTCCATCTTCACCTGAAACCAAATCTACAGGTTCTCAGACAGGGAAATAGAACATTGTCCAGTTGTTTTGTGTATCGGTCACAACCTGTGGCAGCTAATGTCATCGATCACACATTTAACCATGTATTGAAATTATTATAGATGTAGAGTAGAGACTTCATAGGCGAACTCACGTCTGGTTCAGGTTATCACTTTTATAAGCAGTCAGAAAGATTTATTTGAATGCAGTAGCACCCATTTTTCTTGTGACTTGATAGTCCATAAACTTAATAGCAGCATAGTAAATTGCATAGAACAGACATTTTCTACATGAATGATTAGAATGGCTTGTGGATTTGGAAATATTTTAGAATGTTTCAACTTAATAATGAATTCGAACAGTCCATCATAAAGCAACTGACTGAAATTTAATTTTATCACTGTCATCATGATTATGCACTAAAAAAATCAGTTTGAGAGATTGATAAACTTTCTGCAACTGATTTGTTACAAACATGTGTGCCTTCTGTTCAGACTTCAAGCTTCATTAAGCTTTTACTGAAATTTTTGAAATTGGAAGAGAAGGTATCTATGTCTAAAACAAAGGTCAATTAAGAATTCCTAAAACAAAATATTTTTTACAGACAATCTTTTCTGGTATAATAGGCAATAAAGAGGAGTTTTTTTTTTTTAAATGATGTAAATAATGACATGTTTGTAAATACTTTTTATTTCATGAATTTTTCAATACGATATGAATTGAAACATTGCATACTTTTTATATATAATGACAAACATATTATGTACGAATTAGTGCTTTTATAAGATATCAAATTTATAGTAAGCTTAACTACGCAGAATTTTAGTTGCACCAAATTTTTTGGTGTTGTCAGTATTTTAGTTAAAAATATTAAATTTTTTTTACTGTAAAACAGCTACAGGTGATAATGTGTTTTAATGTTCTTAGGTTGCATTTTGAGTTTTTAATGATTTTGACTTTGCTTTAACTCTTGTCAGCATTATAATAGCAGTGTTTCAATATTTTTTTTTTAAACTGTTGTACTTTACATGTGGCTTTTTGTTCTAGAATTATTAGATTTTATTTATTTGTCTAAAGAATGCTTTGCTTAATGGGGAAAAAAGGGAACAAGTGCAAAAAAATAACTGAGGAAATGATAATAATTGTCTTACACTTTATAATTTATACTGTCCAGTGAATTGATATGAAATTCATAAGAAGTGATTCACTTAATTGTAATATATCATATGAATCATAACTTATGATATTAAAACTTTTAACATTGATGTACAGGAACTTCATCAAGTTAACTCATTTCAGTATTAATAGACTAAAGTATAGTCTTATTTGGAACGAGCTCTGATTTTTTGATTAGCTTTTAAATATTTTGAGATTCTGATACGTTGATTTTTCACAAATGTTCCATATTACATGTACTCTCTTTTTAAGTCAGAATGGGGGATGTTTTTTGTTATAAACCTGTGTTTTCAATCAAAATTTCATAAAAATCCACCTACATTTTATATTTTTTAAACCAATCCATATTTCCATGTGTTAAAACATTTGATAGATGTATTTTATTTGTGAAATTTTCTTGTAAATGTCTTCATTTTACATGTATCATATACATCATAATAAATGTAATATACTTAACAGATTTTCCTCTTTTATCATATGGAGCCATTCCTTTCTATGATAGTTTTCCAGCTTGTTTGCCAGGCCTGTAGGAATTTTACTTTTGTCTTACACTCAAAATTTACACTTACTTACCAAGATTCATTCTGGTTACAGATTAATACAGGGATTTGATTGGACAAATAAAATTATCAATTTTAAGTGAAATTACTTGGAACAAAATACGCAAACATACTTTGAAATATTAGTTGAATAGCCTACTTGAAATTAAGTGATTTTTTTCTCATTTGATTCAGAATAACTGAAGGGGCTGTGTATTAAAAGAATTCATGCACAATGGCATGGAAAGTCCATACTTTTGAAATTTATTACAAGTTTATTTCATATGAGTTGAAAATCAAGTTTGAAATGACTATGGTTTCTCCACATCCACTTCCAAATTGAAACTTAAACCTTAACGATTTTTGCCCTGCCAAGATGTGATGTTTCAGGCAGCAGCTTCAACAAAATTTGTAAGTGTGTGATAACATTTGTAGGTCAGTTTAAGGGACACCACTCATGGTAAGTTGATTTGGTAGGCATTTGTAATAGCAATAATAAAACGCATATCCATGGAGATTATATGGCCTCTTATCTTTTGTAACTTTTGCGTATTGAACATATCTAACGTGTAAGTTTGAGATTAGGTCATTTATCAGTCGGGGGACTTACTTAAATGAGTGATTTTCTAAATCACTGATTCAAGTAACATTATGTCCATAAAGGTTGGAAGTAAGAGTTGTCTTTCTTTAATAATCACCTATTTAAGTAGTACAAATTAATCACTTGACTAAGTGATTTAATTTTATTGTAGCTTTAAATATAGAATACTAATGATCCAGGGACTAATTATGTTGCTAAAATTATCAGAACCAACATCTGTGTTGATAGGATGACCGGGTCATGTCAGGTGATGACCTTGTACTAAATCTAGGATAATGACATAAAAATCACTTGTTTAAGTATCATACCTCAATTTCCTTCCAAAAAATCACTTCTTTAAGTATCATTATTTTAATAACCCCCACTAATTTCAACACCCCCGAAAAATTGAAATTTTGATCGCGAACATTAGAATTTTATTACATAATCTATGTGATGAAACCTTGAATTTTACAGGAAAAATTCTGCCACTGCTGGGAAAAATCTGTTAAGAAAGTATGAGTTCATTATGTAAAGCCATTTTTATAGCATTTTTTCAACTAAAATAGAATTTGCAGCTAAATGATTGCATCAAAGGCATAAACCTTGCTGCTTAAAAGAAGCAAAAAGTTCTTTTTTTTCAATTTTACTAATGAAAAGATATTATCTAAACCTATGTGTTAGAAATTTTTGTAAAACTACAAAATCACAATTTGTGACAAAACTTCGAATTTGCTACTTAAATAAGTATTTCAATAAGTCCCCTGACTGTTTATAGCGGAACCGCATTTGATTAGTCACTAAAATTTAATACATTTGAAGATTATTTAGCCTTGCATATTTAGTCATGGTTCACTGAATGTTTCGCATAATTTTCATGTGAAAGTATTGCTATTTAATTTCAACATTTGCATTTTTCTATCAAGTACATACGATGAGACATACCACTGTGTCAACAGCTTATTAATTATGTCTGAGTCAACTTGTATCTTTCATAGATAAGCTGTTAAGTTACATGAAATACAGATGACCAGAACAAAAAGACCAAAAAATATAATTTGTTGAGAGCAATTCACTCACAGCACAAGCACAGGTGTTGCCTATAAAAATATTTACACAGAAACAATGTTATTTCATTGCTTCACCTGCTGAAAATTATTCTTGCAACAGTTTTGTTCTGTGTTTATTTACCAAACAGTTACCAAAAGTGTTATCTTCCAGCAAAGTCTCTTAATTTGGCCTGTACAACATTCATTGAGTTATGACTGTAACTCATTTTGTAAAATTCGTCCTGAACATGGTAAGAAAAGTGTCGACCTCAGTCAGTGTATTGTACATTCAGAAATAAGTGAGATCTTGTGCAATATTGGTTCATCACAATCCTTCAAGAAAAAAACAGTTTATTGAAGTCTCCTTTCGGGTATAGAATATAATGTTATATATGGGCCTTAAGTTTTAATTTAATAAAATTGAGAATGGAAATGGGGAATGTGTCAAAGAGACAACGACCCGACCATAGAGCAGACAACAGCCGAAGGCCACCAATGGGTCTTCAATGCAGCGAGAAACTCCCGCATCCAGAGGCGTCCTTCAGCTGGCCCCTAAACTAGAACTAGTTCAGTGATAATGGACGTCATACTAAACTCCAAATTATACACAGGAAACTAAAATTAAAAATGATACAAGACTAACATAGGCCAGAGGCTCCTGACTTGGGACAGGCGCAAAAATGCGGCGGGGTTAAACATGTTTTTTGAGATCTCAACCCGCCCCCTATACCTCTAGCCAATGTAGTAAAAACAAACGCACAACAGTTCGCACAGTAAAACTCAGTATATGAGAAGTCCGAGTCCGATGTCAGAATAGGAAACAAAAGAAAATAAACAAAATGACAATAATACATAAATAACAACAGACTACTAGCAGTTAATGACATGCCAGCTCCAGACCTCAATTAAACTGATTGAAAGATTATGTCTTCATCATATGAATATCAGGCACAATCCCTCCTGTTAGGGGTTTAGTATTATACCGTCATAAAATATATGACAAGAACATAACCCGTGTCATGCCAACAACTGGTTTTAGAATAAATGTGTTTAATTCCGATGCAAAGACCCTATAAGTGAATCAATATTAAAGCCAAAATATGCAATCTTTAATGACCTGACAACAGTATCGTAACTATATCCCTTCTTAATAAGTGTTTAAAGGTTTTGTTAGCTTTTGAGGTGAATACTGACATTTTTGTGCTTTGTAAAGAATATTACCATAAAAGATTGGATGTGAAATACCCGAACGTATAAGATGTCTGCATGTTGAGTTATATTTACGAATGATGTCCTTGTACCGATGATAAAATTTAGTAAATGTTTTGACTAGTTTATGATATCGAAAACCCAGGTGTAATAATTTTTCAGTAATACATAAATTTCTGTTGCTAAAATCTAATACGTTGTTACATACACGAGCGAATCGTACAAGTTGAGATATATAAACACCATAAGATGGTGACAAGGGAACGTCACCATCTAAAAATGGATAATTAACGATAGGAAATGAAAAATCATCTCTTTTATCATAAATTTTTGTATTAAGCTTCCTGTTAATGATATAGATATCAAGATCGAGGAAGGGACAGTGGTCATTGTTAGTATTATCTTTATTTAAAGTAAGTTCAAAAGGATAAATTTCTTTAGTATACATACTGAAGTCGTCATTATTGAGAGCCAATATATCATCAAAATATCTAAAAGTATTGTTAAATTTTTGTATCAGATGTTGTTTCGATGGGTCTTTGCTGATTTTAGTCATAAATTGTAACTCATAACAATACAAAAACAGGTCCGCAATAAGTGGTGCACAGTAAGTCACACATTGGAATTCCGATAACTTGACGATATACGGAATCTCCAAAGCGAACAAAAATGTTATCAAGTAAAAATTCAAGGGCAGATATAGTATCAAAGCATGTCCAATTGACATAGTTCTTTTGTTTGTTGCTACTAAAAAATGACCTAAAACAGTTTGAACATATGTATTCGCATTCCGACTTTTTAAATGCCCATTTAATTAGGTGTGTGAATTTTTTCTTAATAGGAATATGAGGCAAAGTGGTATATAGGGTAGAAAAATCAAAACTTTGAACAGATTCAAAATCACCAATATATGCATGTAATTTATCAAGTACTTCCAATGAGTTTTTGACACTCCAAAAGTAATTAATTCCACTATTTTCAAAGGCCTTATTTGAACAATTTATTATCAGGTTTTTGATTGTACCAAGTGTACTAGTAAGTAGAATAGACAATTTAGTAGTGGAACAATGACTTGAAGACGAAATAAATCTATATTTGTAAGGGGATTTGTGTAGCTTCGGAAGCCAGTACATAGTTGGGACTTTCATTGTATTTGGTTCTGCTTGTAAAGAAGTAGCTAATAGTTTATGTTTGTTACAGATATCGTTTTCTGAAAATGAAGTCAGTTGGAATGTTGGTGAATTCGTGATTTCCTTTTGCAGAACCTCAATGTAAAATTTACGTCAAACTATAATGATATTATTAGCAGCTTTATCAGCCGGGACAAAAACAAATTCCTTGGCTAGTTCTTTTAGTTTATGCTTGATACGAGAAATAGGATTTTTATGGTTGTTGTTAAGAGTAAAATGTTCTTTAAAATGTTGTATACGTATATCAACTATCTTCATTACTGAATTAAAAAAAGAGTCCAAAGATTTTTAGTTCACTGCAGTTTGTGTTTTGATTTTTTTAGGACAAACCAGCCTAAAAATATCCCAAAGTAAACCATATCCTTGAATTTTATGGTGCTTTTTTGCCTTTGGAGCATCTCACTTTCACAGAAAAATACAATTTATTAAAAGTATTAACTTGCAAAATTTATACCATGTATTCATCATTTAATCCCTGTATATTTCAATGATATCAAGTTCATCAACTGATTAAATAAATCATAAAGGTTAGATTAACTTGCTAATTAGTAGCAGCATTTTAACACCTTACATAAGAGAAACTAGAAAATTGCCTATTGGATTGGAGTTTTATTCAAAAAATATTTCTGATCACAAAATTATTTTCATATAAATCATTTAGAAAAACTATATAAGTATTACAGTAATTATGATGGTGCCTGAACATTCATTAAGCCTGACAGGGGTGGTAAAATTATCGAAATATTCTTTATTAAGCTGAGAACAACCAATGCTTAGCAAATTTGAGGGGGGTGCATGCCCGCTCCGCCCCTGTCTGAAGCCAAGTAATTTCCTGAAGTATACTCCTGACATTTGGGCCTGCATTGATTGAAACAAAGTTTCAGGATCT